TAATTTTAATTATTTATTTATATTATATTAATTATAAAAATATATATTTATTATACTCTTATTTTATACTTCTTTTTTTTTTAAGTACGGTATAGAAAACCCTTCTTTTATTGATGTCAGTGACGCATTTGCATTAAGGTACAGTAAAAGACCTTGCGGTGGTTCTTGGTTCAACTCCTACAATGTGCAGGTGCCGGGTTGAATTTAGTGGTTATACTTATTTCACATGATTTTCTTTTTTTACAAGAATAATAATTAATAAGTTAGTTTTTATCAATGGCTAGTAACTAAGAATTCAATTTTTAGATTTAGTGAATATCTCATCTCTCTTGATGAGGCGCGCGACCCATTGAGTCGTTTGATAGAGTTTTATTTCACATGAATTTGTATTCTATTTCAATGATTTATTTTTACTGTTAGTTTCTTAGTTTATAACAAGCACAACTAAATTTTATTTGTCATATTTTAAAAAAAGAAATAATTTCATATATTTATTAATTTGTAAAGGTAAAAAAATTATTTTTTATACGAATTAATATTTAAAAATAAAAATTAATTTTTATATAAATAATTATTTAAATAAAATAATTTACATGATATTAATGATGAAATTAATAATATTTTTACATTTTTTAATATTAACTAGTATTAAAATATATATTAATTATATTTTAAAGATATATGCTAAAAAAATCTTTCTTTTAAATATAGTATAGAATTAATTTTTTTTAAAAATTTTACTTCTATTACTAATTACTCAATTTTTCAAAAAAACAATTCATGTTTTTATAAATTTTGATAATTTTCGCTATAATAGCACCATGCAAAAGTGCATCTAAGTAAAATCCACTTACTAGTTAACATTTTGTAAACTTGGAGCTAGAAATCAAAATTTCACAGAAAATACCGCACCTCGAACTAATTACATATTTCAATTTTTTCTTTTTTGAGCATGTGAAATTGGAAGAAAGGAGTAAATTTATAAGTAATTGGTGGGGTTAAAATTTTAATTATTTAAACTTAAACTTTCAAATTTGATGATAAATTATTTTACCCATTGCATCAATATAATTAA